AAGTTATGAAATGTAAGAGTACATTCAGGGCAATATGAAATAGCAGGACAACTGGAGATGAGCTTTCTTTGATGCATTAAAACTATTTCTTGGTTTTATTTAAAATTCCTGACATCTATAGGGATTTTGTAAAGCATTTTGTATTGCTGTGAGACTTAATATAACTTACAGAAGCTGGCAATTTAAAACAGACACCAAATATTTAAGTGCTATTAAAAAAACCCAGAAGCCTGAAATGACTCAGTCTTGGAAATTTCTTGCTGCTCTTTTGCTTTTCGCTTATGACACACTGCAGTGGTTTGAACTCTGTCTAGTGATATGGTCAGCAAAGTTCATTTGAGATAAATATTTAAGGTTGTATAGCAATGTGTTACTCGGGGTCATCCTTTTAAAAGTACGAGTTTCAAAACCAAAGGTAATTCTTTCCCTAAACAGGAGAATTTAGCAATTGCATATGTGAGCTTGGATTCCAAAGAGTTAATGATTGGGGCAGATTCATCTAATGTTGTACTACCTCATGACTGTTGCTTTTAATCCCACTGTAGATGACAAAAAAAAAAAAAAAAAAAAAAAAAAAAATCTCAGTCCAGAGACTCTCTGGGCTTTTATCTTTTAAGAACAGTAGCCATATTGGTACCACTGAAAAACGCAGCCTATGTCTGTTTGGGTGTTTAACATTGTCATGCACTGCTGTTCTGGTTTGGTTGGCAGTTTCAAGGTGTTTTGCTGCAATTGCTGTAACAAGTGGATAGATCATACTGCAACTATGTTAGATTGAATTCACATTATGAACCCCAGAAACAGTTGTACTGTTTTGAGATGTGTCTGAACTTCTTTGATCCACACTATGAGACCTTGGAGACAACTGGATGTGGACAGATGCAATCTTCCTACCATTAAGTTATGCTGCAAGTCAGCCACCTTTGAATACTTCTGCCATATTGAAAATAATAAAAAAATAATGTTCACTATCTGCTTCTTCCTGCTTGCCCTAAAAACCCTAACAAATCAAATGAACTTCTTTGCAAGATTCATTTTATTACACCTCAAAATAAGGACCCAAATACTCTACCAAGTCCTCTAACAATTTTTGTCAACTGATTTTTATCTTGTTATGAGCATTATAAAATCATTTGGGGGGCAGATGAGGTAATGCTAGTATAAAGCAAATTGATCTGAACTCATCCATACAAAGCACAGTTAATTTTCTTTAGGAAACTATTTTATAGTTCATATTCTTTGGAAATACTACTTTATAGAAACCACTGAACTTGCACTACTCTAGAATCATTAACTCTACCAGGGTTGTTGATTGTGCAAGTTTCCCTCTTTAGTCATGCTAAACTCAGTCCTAAATAAATGGTCAAATGTGCTAAGGTGGATCCCAGACAATCTTCAGTATGCTGGAGTGTAGCTTGGCTCTTCCTACAGGGACTGGCTAACAACTTCATTTCAGCGGTTATTGCTAGACTCCCTAAAAAATGGCATTCTGTTTATATGACTGAAACTTCTGCTGGGTGAAAAGTTTTATATAAGGAAATTAATTTCCACATTTAAAGGATATCGAAGACAAAACTATGTATTAAAAAAATAAAAAAGTCTCTAGGATAAATTAAATGTTTAATAGTGATTTATTAACTGCTAAGCAAACGAAGCAATTTTGCAAATAGATTTTTAAATGCTCTCACTGCATGTTATTTGTAAGCATAATCAAGACATCTACTTTCTTAAGTCATGGTACCTAATGCACTGGATTGTTTTTAAAAAGCAATTTCAGTTTGCTTGATTTTGCTTAACTAGTGTAATTTGTTAAATTAGATTCTGTTTAGAATCTTGAGTACTACCTTACAAACATCATTTTTGGGGATGGAGGGAAGCAAAAGCCAAGACAAATCATAAAGCTGTGTAGCGGTAATTTGAATCTGCTAAACCCCAAATTTATGTCAGATCCCTACCCTGAACACTTCAGGCTAACTTTAATATTTGTAGTTTAGGTGAACTACAAGAGGAAAAAGTATTTTTGTCCATGTTTGTGTTGCAGTAAAACTTCTCTGAAATAGTTTTCTGGAGTTTTTCAATGCATTTTTAAATGTACTCACTTTCCTCCTTATGTCCTTGACTCTTCAACAACCCATTAGAATGTGTTGAATAATTTGATTTCAAAAAAATGTAGCTAATTTACTGGGATTTTTTGAATTTTTGCACAAAATTAAATCTCAGGGAAAAGAGGACAGCATAACACTTCCTATTTGAAAATATAATTGTCTATTGTATCAATTTCAAAATTAGTCAGATCTTAAGCTGAAACAGAACATCTTTAGGAAATCTGAGAAGACTCAAAATTGTTCTGGAAGAGTTTTAATATTCTAAATTAAAAAGAAAAACAACTGTGTAAAAGCAATAAATGAAGATGTAACTTATTTCCTAAATTTCTCTACTAAGGATATCTCTGTTGCAGATCTCTTCTATGTCTGCTTTACAGTGAAAGGAAAAGATGGTTCACTGTGATTTTTTTTTTTTTTTTTCCTTTTTTTTAAACATATTCCTTGCATATCTTTTGAGGTCTACAAAATGTTTTCTAATTCAGTTTTTAAATCTCTAGAGGTAGGTATGGCATTGGAGAATCCAAAATGGCTTTAAGAGAAGTGGAGGTGGCCATCCCTGCAGCTTTTCATATGGATTTCAGGGAATAGAAGCCTGTACAGACCTTCTCAGCTGTTACTTCTCAGTGAGTCCATGGTATTACAGCCTCTTCCTCAGGAGGGATAACAGTGATTGGGTAATGGGAGCAAGCCGAGTAAATGGGAGTTCCTGGTTTCAGCACCTGTTTGGTCTGGTTGCTTTGGGCTTCTTGAATCATCAGTAATTTCCAAGAATAACCCCTGTCTGGCATTGCTCACGGCTGTTATTTATGAGTTAATAATCCTAATTAGGGCTGCATTTATAGCTATGGCTTTAGGAAAAAAACCCTTAATGTTAACTGAAGTGAAACAGGAAATTCACTGACACTGAAATAAGAGCCACAACTTTGAGCTTTGTCCTATTACAGTTACAATAACACATTTCTAAGTTAACTTATCTTTTTCAAATTTATATTTGAAATTGTTAGAGAATGTGTTACTGTTTCTAAACAAAAAATGTTGTCATATTATATGCAGTATGTGTTGTTGACTCATTTTATGCATAATCTTATTTTACTTGTAATCTTGAGAGCTGTACAAGCTGTCAGGAAGCTACCAAAAGATAATCCTCTGTCTTTTGCATATGATCCATATGTCTGGGTAAAAACTGTCTCATGCTTGAGAAAAACGAAGAACGTCTTTAAAGTTGGTTTGGTTTTGCATTAAACTTTTTCTTTATTGCAGGATACGTTAAAACATACTCAAGCTTTTTTTTTAAATCTCAGTGTTTTCAAAGATCAATAAGCAAAGGCTTTCATTAAAATGCTCTGATACAGTTCTGGAACAATGCATGCCTGGCAGTCCGTTTCATATAAGGAAGCTGATTCTTTTGGGGAACTTTAGAAACGCCATTTGCATTGTAGCTGTACAGCCATTAAACTTGCTGAGAATTGTTTTAGATAACGGACTGCTAATATTAGTTTCTGCAACTATTTGTTTAGCTCATGATGTCTCCATTTGTGCAGTGTTCATGTTATGATGGTTTCAGTATGAGTGTGGCTCACTGTGGAAGTACAACCTTATATTTAAAAATGGGCTTCAGAGAGCTTAAGATATCTAAGGAGTTGCTTGTGTTCGTGGAATTGAAAAAGCAGCATGAAAAGGTCTGCAACCTTAACACTTCATTCTTTTTGTATGCATGTGCAGAAATGCTTCTGCATTGTAGTACCCACTGGACACAGAATTTGTCTGGACTGATATTTGTCTTCCACATGACAACGTATTTTCCATTAATTAACTCTGAGATGCTGCAACTACTTCATTTTCTGAGATAAGCATTTTTCTGAAAGAAGTTACTGGGAGATGTTTTACAGAAGTGATAGCGTAGTAGTGCCTTAAACTGAAGTGATCTTGTCACAACGGGAGAGGGTCAGCAGTAAGTAGCAGTCATCTGTTAAGGGAACCCACTAGATGCTGTGGACCATTAGTTTCAGGAATTTTTAAGAACTCCAATTAAACTGCTTTTATTCATGCTAAATGTGATTATAATTTAATAGATTGTAACAGATATTTTTAATTGGCTTTTAATTAGATTTTTGACTTCTAAATTTCTGTTCATGTTGACAAGTTAACAATGGTTTTCTGAAGTATAGGACAGGTATTTGAAAACGCTTATGACTTGTTTCTCTTCAGCTAAATGTGGTTAGATCACACTTTCAGCAACATTTTAGTTTTCTTTTGAATCATGTTTGGTTTTTAAGCAGGAAATCTTACTAAGACTTCCTACTGTTAGTAAGGTGGAGACAAAGAGGGAACTCTTATTCCTCTTCCTATAAGTAAAAGCACTGAGAATTCAGTATCTTTATTTTTAAGTAAAAATTTAACATACTACCTTCTGCCAAAACCAATTTCATTCACACAAGGCAGTGGTCATAGTTTTATCATGTTTTGTTCTCACTTGCATATTGCTTATCCGACTGTGAGTAGATGGAATATTTATTGGCAATCTGTTAAAAGTCTTCTATAGTACTTCAAGTAAATTTAATAATTAATTCCTGAAACTTTTTAAAGGGAGCAGAAAGTAACATTTTAGTTTGACTTCTTTCCATCATTGAATTCCTACATTTAAAAAAACCTCACAGGTTACAACGTAAAAATGTCTCCCAAAGCTTAAGTAGAACTCCTCATAAAGTCCCACTTGAAAATCTTATGTATGTTCTCTATTTAAAAAACAAAGGGGCTTAGAAATACAACTTGCTTGCAACCGACTAGCAGCCTTCAAACTATTCTATGATTTAATATGAAAGAACTTTTGAATTGTACTAAAACTTCTACATTTCTCTTTACTGTCTCTCCTTCATGCCTGGCTTGATGAGGCAGTCAGCATCAGGTAAGAAAGTTTATTCTGAGGTTCAAGGATCTGATTGTTAGCTTTTCTTCCCGCTCTTCTGAATTTGTGAAAGTACACTGTTACCTGTTAAGAGTACGTACGACTGAAGTCTTTTCAGATGTTGACCAATAGGACATACAGTTTGTCTTTAAAATGCTGAATCCTTTAGGCACAAGAAGGTATATAAATGCAAACATTATTAGGATTCTGTTCTTGATTCAGCTGGCTTTTGAAGGGATAATGATAACATACATTTTGGTCACGTAATGTTATTAGCCCTCTGAAATGTCCTAAAGACCCTGTGAATGTGCTGTAGTGAAAACTGGGTTAAAGCTGCAGTCAATCTAGACAATACAACATGGATTTGAGAATTAAAAGCAAAACATGTGGGTTTACGAGACCTAGTTTTTTTACAGATGTGATCAGATTTGAGATTCTTGCCAAACTGAAGTAGTAAGAAACAGCCAAGGTTCATTCGAATGTTACTTGTCAGGGTAACAGAGGTCTAGTTCCCTTCACGTGGAGGAGGACCAGACCCAAACCTGAAATACTTTAACCAATATTGGCTCTATGTACAAAAGAGAACAGAAGTGACAGACCCTGGGGTGTAAATCCATGATCTGCTCAACATGGCTGCAAGAAAAAGGGCTGTTATTTTTCCTTCACGTGGAATGATAAGGATAGAGTTACAAATAGGGTTTAGGGGTGGGGGGATGTTTGGGTTGGTTCCACAGTGCACCATCCCACCCCCTGAGTCCTTAGTCAGATTTCCCATTATCTTGATAGGCTTGGCTACATGAATGACAAGATCTTGGCATAATGCTTTACTTCCTACTTCAAGCTCTTTTTGCATGTTCAAATAAAACACTGATGGCAAGAATCTCAAGAAGTCTCTCTTAAAAAGGTGACAGATGGGCTTCAGTGTGAATAAGGTAATTATGAATAAGGTAATTCATCAACTGCAAAATCTAAGCCATACCTACACGATGGCAAATACAGAATTGGTGGTTAAAAATTAGGAAAGATATTTTCAAGTTGTCACTGAGAGTTTGACATCATTGGCTTACTGTGCCACAGCAGCCAAAACAGGTAAGACATGTTGGGCATCAGTAGGAAGTACATTAAAACAAAATAAGGGAGTTCATACTGCCACTACAAAACCTTGGTGCAGGGCTGATCTCTATACCCGAAGATGGATGTAGAGAGTTTAAAGAAGGTCTGCAGGGAAGTTAAAGGGAAACTAAAATGATCCGTTCTCTTGAGCACTGCCTGTTTGTGAGAGACTAAAAAGGCTTGGGACTCATCTATCTTAGAAGGCTGAGAGGCATTAGGATGCAAGTTTTGGAATCATGACTGCAGAACTGCTTTTCACCACTTGTTCCTGCATTATTAGAATTCAGGGGCAATTCCTGAAACAAGTAGGAGATTAGTTTAAAACAACTAAAGGAATTTCTGGAACTTAATGCCACAGGAAGCTGTGGAGGTATACAGCAAAATAAAAAAACAAAAAAATCATCAGTCATGAACTATGACTATAAATGGATGCTGAAACAGCTAGGAAGAGATGCACTCTCATATCTGCTACAACAGTTTCTGGACAAGTGAGTGGAGGCTTGGGAATATTAAGGGAATGGATTGCAAAAAGTGGTCATATTCACATGCTTTCCCTTAAAAACAAAACAATATGAAAGTGCTGTTGCCACTGTTGGAGGCAGAATATTAGGTTGATGGACCATTGCCCTGAGTCAGTAGGACATTTCTTTATGTTCCCATCTTGAAAAACATACTGCCTTTTCTATTAGAAGTGCAGAGCCTCACTTGCTAGACTGTGAAGTTATGTGAGAGTACAAAACTTTTCATTTTAAGAAACCTCTCTTTTAGAGCCTGAAGCTGGCATTAGCCACTGGTATCTAACTGGATTGGAGCACATGCTGTCTACAAGTTGTTTCAAATGCTTCAAGAAGCCTTACAAAGCCTTTCTGCTGCAACACAAATTGCAGATAATCAGGCTCCTTCAGAAATGATCCCAAACAAGTATTAGATTGAGGTATCTTAATCTCTGATACCACACAAAACTGAAAATAGTGCACAGATGTTCCCAACTTATTCTGTTGGATACTTTTAACTTCTTGAAGATTAGTTGCTTCCATCAATGTTCATGTTTAAAAAAAATCTAAGATGCGAATCAGATTCTACTGTCAGTTGAAAAAGAATTTGCTTTAAGTTATTCTCAAGATTAAAGTGACAGATTTCAAATTGTAAAATAAAAGTAACATGCTGTTGAAGACTAGGTTTTGGTGATAAATTAATGTATTGACATTTAATATAAAGGCATTTGGATTCAAATGACAGCACTTACATTTTTAAGTGCAGTAATTTTGGTAGGTACAAAGTAATTAAATTTCTCAAACTCAAAATGGCTGCCATAAGAACAGTAATATACATCCCACTGCCCATGATTTTCATGCCATCTCACTGAATTGTAATATGCCTTTCTGCTTGGAAGGGACCCTGGGAGGCCTCTAGTCCAACCTCCTGTTCAAAGAAGGATCAATACTGAATTCAAAGCAGGTTGCTTAGGGCTTTGTCAGTTGGGCACTGAAACCCACTGAGTAGGGAGAGTCTATGAACAAATCTAATTCTACTCTGTTCTAATTCTTAAATAGATTATTTCTTAAATTGATTAATTCTCAAATTGATTATTTTCCCTTCATATTCAAACACAGCCTTGTGTTTTATCTTATAATCAATGTCTCTTTTCCCACCATGCATTTCAGTAAAGAACTAGTTCTCTGTTATCTTAAGGCATAAGCTCCTGTCCGTTAACCGTCTTGGTGTCTTTGTAGTGAAATCTACTCCTGAATATCTTGTACTGAAGAAGGAGTGAGGTAGCAAGTGCAGAATAGGACAGATGCAGTCTAACAAGTGCTGGATAATCAGTTCGCCTGAGGTACTGGCTATGCCCTTGCCAATACAGCCTAGTAAGCTGTTAGCCTTTATCACTGCTCAGGGACACTCCTGATTCATGTTTAGCCTCCCCTGTGTCAGGACTGCCATGTCGTCTTCAGCAGTGTTGCTACCCAGCCTGGCAATCCCCGTAATATGAATAAATACCGTGCTACAGTGTCTGTGCTTCTGGCTGAGATGGCCATTTTTCAAGCAGAGAAGTTACAGAACTGTATGACGATCAATAGACTTGTCACATATATTCTCTACGGTATGTTCCTATTTCTTCCTAGCAGTCTGGTTCCTTTTGTATGTGAGGAGTACTTGAGAAAAAGGGCAGGCAAGTGTAAAGCTGCAGGTCAAAAGAAGTGTTTCTGGAAGATCACAGATTGTGCATCCTTTCATTAGAGTAACAAAAGATGACAACACACTGTTTTTCCAGACTCACTTTTGGAATTGGCAAAGTCTGTGTCTAGTCATGATTTTTTCACCAACAGCAATTTCCACAGACTCTCATTTGGTGTTTGGAAAGGCTACTGCCTAAAACCCTGAAGCCATGATTTTGTCATGTTACCTAAATATATATCTAATGGTATCACACGTTGAAGTCTTCAGGAAAACAGTTGAGGTCACTGGCCTGACTTTCTGAATGTTCAAAACAACTAACAATAAACATCAGCTTTACAATGTCAAGTGAACCAGTGGCTTAGCTGTGCAGCCCTAAAAGCATATAATATCTTTAATATGAGATTTGTAGTCACTTGTACAGTGGAGCTTTTTTTCTGTGGTGAGGGTGGAGAGAAATTGTTGGGTTTCATTTTGTTTTTCTGTTTTCTTAGTGGCTAAAATTGATAGCTGTTTTGGAAACTTCATGTGGCAGTTAATCTGATCATATTGCAGGATATTTTTAGGGGTAATATTTCTAAATAACACAAGAATCTCTGTATCAGGCTTTCTGTATCTAGGTATATAAGCTAGTAAAAATTATTTATTCCTGATACATGTTACTGTCCAGTAATTAATATTTGGCATAAGCTGATTTTGCTTACATCATGAATTATGGTGTGCAAGTGTGGAACTTTTTGTTTTGCTTGCCTTTACACGAGCAAGTTCCTCATGAAACAACTGCAGTCTATGTGTATGTGAAGAAAATGCAAAAAACTGACATTAGTACGTGTAGTTACAACCAAGGTGTAGATCTACAGCATGCACCCATATTACTAATGGACATTTTGATATACATTAGAAGCTGGAGCTTTAACATGCTGTTAACATCCAATTTGATGGCTTCTAGCATGACTGACTCTTCTGACCTTTTTTCAACATCTTTTATTCTCACCTTTTGCACAAGACCATGGTAAGTACAGAGATTCCTTCTTCCCCAAGTGGACAGGTAAAATCTTCTATTGGTGTCAGACTTACATGGACTTTTTATTTATCAAAGTGAATATTGCTTCAGATTTCTGAAAAGTCAAATAGATTTGTGTAAAGCTCTTCAGGCTTTTTCTTCTATTTTCCACGTCTCTGTTATTGTGAAGGTTGCTTATAAAATAGCACTTGGTACATCTTCCTTTTTAAGCTTCCGGAGTGACATTAGGAAGTTTCTGTAATGCATTTTTAATGGTTTTCTGCATTCTTATCATTTTTTATCTTAATACTCTTAGACTGCCAAACTGACCCTGAAGTCATTGTTACTAAAAGCTAGCAAAAGTGAGATTCTAAAAAAAAAATCTACCTCAGGAACATCTTCCATGAATTGCAGTTATTTTCACTAAATTAACAGGGGACTTGACAGGCTTCAGAGCTTTGGGTTTTAATTTCACATACCTTGAATGCATGGTTGTAATAGCTTATCACTCCACAATGCATTTTGAATTAAAATACTATTGTATCTGTCCATGGTCTGACAATCATTTTTGTCCTTTGATGTTATCTCAAAATTGAAACTACAACCTATTTATGCCATACAAAGAGAAGTTTCTCTCATACTTCTCGATGTGAAATCTCATTGGGTCTGAACTAGATAAAGACACTTGATCTGGCAGCATAGACAGAACTAAGCATACTCTTTGGATTTCCTTCCATGGCTGTGTGAAACTGGCAATATTCACTTGAGACCCTGCTCTTTGGGATTAGGGGAAGGCTTTTTTCAGGTGAGAAGTGAGGTGATAAGGGAAAGAACGGAGCTGTAAAAGTAAGATGTGAAGGCCAAAAGTGCTGTCTAAACAAAGACACCACTCTAGAAAACTAACTGTAAACAATTCTAGTGGGTATATTAAAGATACAGTAAATACCTTGGAGGAATCTGTCATTAGTGCTTCTAGGTACCTTGATTATTAAGCCTTAAAACTGAAATACTCTGGGGGCGGAAGGAGAATTTTGGAAAATTCCAAGTACTATTTAAGATGTTATTTCAAGGTCTTTGCTTGGGCGGCCAGAAGCAAGAAGTCACTTTCTTCTGATTCCAGCTGAGTTTCAAAGTGATCATCAAATGTGCTACTTCTAGATCTAGCATTTAATTGAATCCAATAAAATTTCAATGAGACATTTCTTGGAAATGTGGGGTTTTTTACTGCTGGACTCTTCAGCTCTGATTAACTGTTAACTTCTGCTTTTTCTAACAGATCAAATGTCTAAAAGGCCAGAGAGACTTCTCAGACCAACCCACTTTTGATGGGATTCACATTGTCAACCATTTCACAGGAGATGATGAATCATTTCATTCTTCTGATGAAGATTTTATAACTAACTCCATACAGGAGAGTGGGGTGAACTTTCATCTACACAGGAGGACCGGTCAGATGGTTTTGGATCACAGAGTTGTGGACAGCAGTGACAGTGATGCCGAGGAAAGTGCCCTTCAGACTGGGAATTCAGACAAGATGGTTTCCAAGCAGAGAAGAATGGAATCTTACTCTACTACTGTGTGATTATCACTGTGACTAGCATTGAAGACTTTCATATTTCTTTAAGGGTGAAATTGTCTGATAACTGAAACTATCCAGCAGTTGGATTAGATAACTATTGGATCTGGACTGGCCTGTGATAAATATATACATGTACTGTCTATCTGCCTTCTCTCTTTGCCAAATCTTGCTAGTGACATACTGTTGCCATAAAACAGGCTGCAAAGAAGTTGATAGATGACAGTTCTGACAGTATTACTGAATGTTCCTTGGTTTAGAAGCTGCAAATATATAATTTCTTTAATGCATAAGAACCATTTTTGCTGTTCACAAACACAGGAATTATTTTCCTCAAAAGAAATTGCTCTTGTGCAATATTTTATGCTCTGAACAAATGTGTATGTTTTACATTGTTATCCATTTGTGATCAAGATGGACCCTAGTAAACCATCTGATCATGACACACACATATATATATATAAAATTATCTTATGCTTCTTGATTACTTTTGTTTTTACTAAAATTACTGGATGCCCACAGAAGGCTTGAAAGAGGAGCCTTTATCTGTACTACTTCATATATGCAAATAATGGTCACTAATGTCATAAAGGTGTTTTTCACCATTTTCACTTAAATTTATGTGCATCTGCTTTTGATGTTGCTAATACCTGGTCTAAATATATTAATTACAATAATGTCTATTTTGTATATATTTATATATCTACACCAAGCTGAAAATGTACATTACACCATTTTATATGAGGAATGTAAATGTTGCAATATTACTGTCTCTGGTATTCTAACAGGAAAATGAATTCTGTACATACACACTAGAAATTAATTACTAAATAAAGGCAAAACACTAACTTTGCATTGTCTCAGCCTAGCGACACTAACAGGTTCATGTCAGAAATGCTTGTTCAAAACACTATTGACTGAAATATTTTACCTTCATATATATGTAATGAAAATAAATTTTTCATGATTTAACAAGGTTGCAGCATTTACTGTTTAGTCACTTCTAAAGTCATTGGTCACAGCATAGTTAGAGTGGTAGTTCAGATAAGGTGAAAAAATCATTCGTGTCTTACAGTTAGTTCTAATGAAGGCATGATCAGTGCAGTAAAGTATCTAAGCTCAGTCTTCTTACAGTTTTATATTGCAGAGCTATCTAGGCAATAAGCTATTGGTCCTGTCACCAAATAGCTGTGATTCACCAAAGCAGTAGGAGCTGAGCTAAGCATTCTGCTTTCACATTCTCCTGAAAATTGAGATCCAGTAAAATGACCCTAGCTTCTTGAACAGAACAAGATATACTACTATTGTCATGTGAACACTCACTTGCCTTCTGACACATTCTAGTCAAGAATACTCTTAATAGCAGATATTACAGCCATCTTGATTAATTAACCACTTCCTAAGACTTATTTTCTAGCAATGTTTGCAACTGTTCTTTTAATAATAATAAAAAATAGCCATGCACAAGTTAGTACTGGTAGTCAGCACATGTGTTAACCATCTTGCTACTCATGAGAAGCAGTGTAGTTATTTAAAATTGCAAAAGCGTGGAAGCATACTGCTGAATGCATCTGCTAGTCCTGTTTGTTAGGCATCATTTCCTTTACTTTTATTTTGAATGTGTCCTCAGAAAGAAACAGCACAACTGAGGTAACAAATGTTCAAAGAATGACAGGGAAGGCTGCATGGAAGACGTGCATTCTGGGCCTCTCACTAGTATTATCTGCCCTGGTGCAACCTAATTTAAATCTTAAAGCAGGTGGGTGATAAATTCCAAGTTACTGGTATCTGCAGCTCCTAACTTACTTCAGTATTTCTGCAAAATTTCCCCACATCCTACCAGTGAATACGTAGTTCTCAGTATAGACTTGTAGACCTTGCCATCTCTGAAGTGGAGTAGCTGACTGATTCCGATCCTTGTTGGAAGTATCATGTATGCAAAACCAAGTCATGAGCACTTTTGTTCCCTAACAGTTGCCTTTTTTTTTCCTACCAATGAGCATCTGGTAACTTATGTTTGCACCTGGATAATTGTTGCCCAAGAGGATAATGACAAATGTCTTGTTGCTTGTCATCAATACCAGCTGCAAGTCTCTCCTAAAGGTAACATTCTATAATAAGTGGCAGGAGCAAAATTCAGTTGGAGAGCCATAAAAATCCTGTCTGTTTGAACAGTGAAGTGTTATGATTTTGCAATAACTGCCTTACTGTTCAAGTGATAGCAAATGAGATTAGTTGGCAAGGGTTATTTCCTGAACTTCGGTGGTTTTAAAGTATACTAATAGAATAAATAATAATACTGAATAACAGCATAAATAAAAATATCAATGGGAAAGCCAAAGTCCTTATCCAATGAAACTGCATCTTTTCTAGTGATGAAGGTGAATCACTGGACATGCTGCAGTTTCGGAAGACTTAGTTACGCACGGAATATCCTAGGAAGACAACCCAAGGAGAAGCTGTTCAGAATCATCCTTCTTTTTCTGCAATTATTCTGCCAAAAAATTACACTAAGATCTTTGCCTATGTGTATTAAATTTTGAATATGCACCAGAATAATGTCAAGTAATCAACAGCATCGATAATATATTTATTAACGTGTTGATAAATAAAGCAAACTAATGCTACCCACCATGACCTTGCTTGCATGACCTTCTAACAAACATCATCATTCTCTTAGATTTGCTCTTACGTGCATGCTGTAAAAGCTCAATGGGAATGCTACAAACATAAGATTAAAAAAGCACATAAACATAAAAACTTAGGATTCTTGAATATGTAAGTACTGCAGCTGAGGAGATAGCTAGGTGAAACAGGGAAGGTGGATACCCTGCTATACACAGAGTTTTCATATATACTTTTTATGTTTGCTAGGGAAAATGGTCATGCTTTCCGAGTCTGATAATAAAATGTCTTCACTAGCTAGAGAAGCCTTGATATTTATATCTTCTTATTTCTCCAGGTTAAGGGAGGAAATATTTTAGGTCCTAATAGCATTTATGATTCTACCTCTTTTTACTTAAGTAATTTCACTTAATGTATTAGAAGTTTGTAACATTTGTGAGAAACTGAGAATATGACTAGTTTGGAGAAAGTACATCTGTGAACTATGAACTACGTTCACGACTCAACAACTATTTGTTCATGTTGGTCCTGTTTTTTGACAAAATGCAGGCCTCATCTACATACACATTCACAAAGTAGTATTTTCCACTAAATTCAATTTTCAACTGTATGTACAATTTCCTACATTATTTTAACTAAAACTGCTGTGAAAGTGATTAAAAGAAGTATCCACATAGGTGTTTGCATAAATTTAACAAAAACACTTTGTAAATCTTGTAATATTGAACTTAATCAGTACTTAGCCCTTTCACGGTACTGCAACCCAGAAGAATCACGTGTTTCTCTGGGGTTTTTAATGTAATTCCTA